AGTGATGTTCTGCTTTAAGCAATTACATTGTAGCTCTTCCCACAGACACGGGAAAGTCCTGGGAGTTGTGCTTCACAATGACTTAAGCATTTAAGGCATCATGGATGTTTTTATTTAAAAAATCCATTTTTTTCAGTGTTTTGAACAAGGAAAGAGATTCATTGTCCTGGACACGGCCTTATTGAATATGTGAGGGGTAATTTAGTCAGGTGAAGTTGGGTGTGTTGGTTCCTGAGGCAGAAACACACGAGAACAACGTTTTCCCCCCATTTTTTTGAATGGCCTCTTGTTTTTGCTGGGAAAATGGCCCGGCCCTGCTTCGTCAGGACTTTTTAAAACTTGCCCCGACCAGCAAAGATACTTCTGTTTAAAATCAGAGAAATGCTCCCCTCCAAAGCTCCAGATGAAAGATATCTGTTTCCCTGGGCTGCACTGGCCAACAAGCAGGTCTTGCTCAAATGTGGTCGAGACGCTCAGATCCAGTTCATGCTACTGATACCCCTCGCTCTCCCCTCAAAATTAGCCCGGATGAATGGGGCCTTTTGTCGCCAGCAAAGAAACGGGCAGAAATCACAATAATCTCTTTCTAGCCAGGCTTCTGTAGCGTGGGGTGAGGCAAGGGCTCGGCCTGGTGCTGGAGAAGAAGGAAAACAGCAATTTCTCCGCGGTTTCCGTGGCGTGTTGGAAGCTGAAGGAGATCTTCTCGCACGCAGCTCCGAGCACCTCGGGCTGGTCACTCCCCTTGACTCCGTTCCAGCCCTTCAGCACCGTGGGACTGAGGACCATGAATCACATCCTTCACATCCCCTGGTAGCCCTCAGGTGATGGGAGGTGGCAAAACTCCTGGCCGGTGAGTTTTTCACGCCCGCTTCCCGAGGCAAAGCCTTTGCGCGGGGTGAGAAGTTACACTTCTTTCCTGTTATTCTAGAACTAAGTACTTTGCACATTTGGGAAATATTATTAAGTAATAGTCTGAGTGACAGGCTGTGGTCGGAGTTAATTTCTTCCAGTTCTCCAAGTGTCTAATTACACTTTCTTCAGTGCTAAGTGGACGGATTGTGTCGAGTGTGCAAAGACCTCTTGTTTAAATTTAAAACAAAACACACACAAAGAGAAAACCCTCGGTTCATCAGTGAAAGTCGGGGCTAGGGACACAACCCAAAAATCTTCTGACAGCTGTTGTGGTTCTGCACATCATCTCCCAAGCACCCTTGGAAGAGCAAAACCCACCGGGCAGATCGTATCTGGTAAATCAAATCATCCCTTTTTACACAGTTCCAGTATTTCCCAGCTTAAAGCTGAGCCTGGCTTTGACTTAGACCCAAGTGAAGACCTCGTTAGGCAGACACAGGCAGCCCCACTTTTAAGGAGTTTTTCTCCACTTGTCTGCAGTCCCCCTGGAGGGGACAGTGCCCGATTGTCCATTCCTAGCCCAGGGCACTGCCGAGTGAAGAGGGCTCTGGAAATCCATGGAATCTCCAGCACATGGGCTGAAAATGGTGATTTGTCCTGTCCTCCACGACTGGGTTGTGTCTGGGGAGAATCTGATGGTTGATGGAAGAGCAACAGGGGTTTCACATGGAAACAGCTCTTGGAAGAAGGACAAACTCTGGAGGAAACTTCCACCTCTGCTATGGCCAGCTCAGAAAAACTCAACATGATTTTTCTGGCTGCGATTTAAAATTCCTTGGGGTGTGGGTGGCAGGGGAGAAAAGAGGGGCAGAGCCACACGAGGGGCTGAGAGACAAGCCAGGGACACATCACTTTCCAGTGCCAAGGACGAGCTCTAGGAAGGCACCCCCAGCTTGGTCGTGCTCATCAACCACCACACCAACCTTAATTTGGGCTCATTACAAGTTTTTTTACCTTGGCCGTGCTCAAAACAAGGATTTCATGGTCATCAGATCCTTTTTGGTCTCTGTGTTCATTGATTGCCCAGAGGAATGGACACATCCAGCTTAGGTGGTGGCTCTCAGGACCTGCCCAGGAATCCTTTGAGACCAGGCGAGCTCAGGTTGTGATTTATTTTTCTTTCCTGGGGTTTGTGACCGAATCAGACGGGAGAGAGGAAGTGAAGGTTTGTTCTTTCTGAAGATTTATTTCGTTACATCTGCAACAAGTCAAGAGGAGAACAGGGTAGAAAGGCTTTTGGTTTTGGGCCTGGAACAAAGCTCAGGACTTCAGATAAACAAATGGGGGGAAGGAATTATCAAAGAAAGAGCTGGCCACAGACTTTGTTATGAGCTTTGTGTAACAAGCTGAGAAACTTTGGGAACTCAAACCAAACTGAAAGTGCACAGGGGTATGAGGGGAAGCAGATGATTGAGGTACCTCAAGGAAGAAAATGGGGATAGTTGACATAGAAAACACCCTAAACTTTGGGTTAGAGGACCCAGCAGCTTCTCAGGTGTGTGGTTGCCCTGTCATTGATTTGATAGCCATGGACACGCTCTGTTGGCTCCTCCAGGATGATGTTTTGTTAGTTTTTACATCCCTGAGACAAAACACGGGCGCTGCTGTGGGCAGGGACTGTGGCCCTGTGAGCTTCACCTCCCAGGTGTGATGTGTGGCTGTACCCACAGCCAGGAGCTGCACCCACACACAAGATTTTTCTTGGACTTGGCTGCAAAAATATCCTGTAATTTTGATTTCCTATTTACAATTGAGAGTAATTTAAAAAAAACCAAAACAACAAACTGCATAACAACAATGGCACCCTGTCCAAATTTCCACTTGGGTAAGTAGGTGTTAGTAACTCCTACCTGATGCTCAGGATGGTGTAGGAGCTGAATTACTGTGTGTAGGTCAGTGGAGGTGGTGAAAAATAACAAAAGTTCTGAGAGAGACAGCATTTTTTAAAAGAAAAAAAGTTTATTTCTCTGTAGGGAAGAAAAAAGGGGGAAAAAATGTTTAAAGTTTCGTTTCCTCGGTGTTAAATTAACAACAGCAAAAGCCAGCCAAAGGAATAAAATGCATGTTAAGGAAATTTAAAAGAGTTACACTGAAATTAATGCCAGCTTGCTTTGCGGAGCTCCTGAGTCACCAAAATCCCACAGGGCACCTCCTAAAAACTCAGGCTCTCCACAAATCCTCAGGGTCACAGTGCTTCCCTTAGGAATGTGGTGCCCTGTGCTGGGGGAAGGAGAGATAACCCCTCCAGTAGGTCCCACCACAGGTCTGACAACACTTCCCTGTGTTACCTGTGCTGAGTGCTCTTTATCTCCCTGATACTCTATCAGCCCGGCCAGGGCAAGGCCCCCCCGATAGTCGAGTGGCTCAATTAGCAGTAATTAGCGCAGTGAGAAACCTGCTCTGGGCTGGGATGGAGCAGCTCCCTGTCTCCTGGTCCCTCCAGAGGAGCTGCGGGGTTGGGTGGCCACTGGCCTGGTAGCCAGGATGGTTTTTGTGCTGTTGGTTCCCTTTTTCTGCTGGGCTTGATGGGGCAAAGCCTAAAAACAGGAAAAAGGTGGAGATGATTCCATCTGGGCAGGGAGAGGGTGTGGGAGCTCCCACCTCCATAGCTGTGCAGAGACAGGAATTGCAGAGCCATTGGCATTCCCAAAATTGGTCTTGCAAGGGATGGTCCATGGTAGGGGCTCAGTGAGGGCTGCAGCTCCTCCCTGGGGAGGGGATTTCTCAGTTTGGTGGGAAATTTGGAGGTCTGGGAGATGTGATCTCCTCTGGTACAGAGATAACAGGGATTTTCTACAGCAGCAAACCCCTTGAGATGCCCCAGTCATCAGCTCATCCTGTAGGAGAAGAGAGAAAACCTCAGTTGGGGGTTTCAGGACATTTCCCGCACACACAGACTGCTCTGCATGGCTCCTCTCTCACTCTCCCCGAGTTTTTGTGCAGATTTGGTTTTGCCTGCACTAATCACCCACCCTGGGGGTGAGGGTTGTGTCCAGCCCACGGCATGGCCAGGGGTATCCCCTCTCCTCCTGCAGGCACACGGTTAAAACCCAGCCTCCCCAAACCAAGGGCTGGCCGTGACAACCCTCAGTGCCGCTGGCCAGAAACCTGCAAAGCAGAAGAGAAATGGTTTTGGTGGCAGAGCTACAAATGCTCCATAGAGCACAGCTTGTTTCGGGGCTTTTTAATGTGGTTCTGCGCTGACTTTTGGTCCCCTAATTCACAGCAGAAGCGGAGCAGAGCGCGGTAGAGATTGAGCATGAATCCCCTGCGCTGGGTTAATGGGAACAATTACAGAGGTTTCTTCTTTTTCTGCTGCCAAGCTGTGATATGAAATCATTCCCCGGGTTCCTGTTTCCACGGGAACAATTAGTTTCATGCCGTTTTGGTCTTAGACATCAATGAAGTGTTTAACTAAATGAAGGCAAACACTTCATAAACGTATTGTCTCACGCAATAATCAAGTAGCTACCAAGTGCCACAGCTAAATGCACTTAAAACTCAATGAAACCAACCCCACAAAACGCTCTGGAGCGTGTGAATATTTATTGATCTGATACAGCACATCACCAGTGAGCCAAAAATACCCAAAATTCCGACTGCGGCTGTTGAGGTGTTGGCGGCTTTTGAGCCAAGCTGCGTTTTCTCAAAGGGTCTGGTCACCTTGAGCCATCTCCAGGAGGGGCTTTGGGGACCTGTTGGGTGATGCTGATGGATTTCAGCTGGCCCATCCTGCGAGCCAAGGGCAGGGGACTTGCAGGACCTGGTAGCCCCGCGGTGCCGGAGCTCCCAGGGCCGTGCCTGGTCCCCGGCCGTCCTCCAAGGACTCCACATATTTCCTCCTTCAAAACTAAATATACAAAGAGTCCACACGGCACGGAGTGGAATTCAGGGCTCTGCCCGCTCCCTCCCCGGCACATCTGGGAGCCTTTCCCTCGCAGAGCTGAGCAGCTGCACGGGAGGGAGGCAGGGAGGGAGGGAGGGAGGGAAACTCGGAGACATGGAACAAAGTGAGGGCTGAAATAGAAATAGAATTCAGGGATGCTGCTGTGGGTGGCTCAAGTGGGACAGGGACAGGACGGGGCAGCTGGGCTGGGAGCTGGGCAAGAGTGACTTCCTGGGCTTCACTTCTGAAGATTTTCATTCTGAAAATGAGCCACTCAAAAAGCTCAGGAGGGATTGGAGCAGCTCATTGCAATGAGATGTTAAGGAAGAATTCACTGTGCAGCCCTTGATAGTGGACCCTGAATTCTTACTTCACTGGGCAGTGGATCACATCCTTTGTTGATACCAGCCCTTAGAGAGAAGGAAATGATGTTTTCCCTTCCATTCAAAAAGGATTTATACACAAAAAGAAATAGTAACCTCATTTCAGTTTAGCAACTTGAGAAAATCAGAATTTTGCTTGGAGCATTCCCTTTGACCCCTTTTCACTCTCTTGATTGAAATGTGTCCTGGGAATGGTGTGCTACACAGCCTTTCCCTGTTCCTGATGGACAGCCAGTCCACGCTCAGTGACCCTTTGCACAGCTGTTTCTTGGATGAATCCCCTTCATTGGCCCTTCCAGCCAAATGCAACAGAGATTTCGCAGAGAAACTTCACATCAAATTATTTTTTGTCCTGATCCCAGAGAACACATCCACACAGGATGGAATGGTTCCTCCACGTGTACACAGTGGGCCCTCTCCAACCACTGCTGTCCTCTCTGTCATCCTTTCTGCTGACAAGCTGGCAGGTGCTGAATCACCTCAGCACAGCACAAAATATTCTGTGATGGACGAAGGAAATACTCAGAGCTGTTTCTCCATCCATTCACTTCCATCTGACAGAGCTGTCTCTCCCCTCCTCTCCCATGTGCCCTGCTGCCATCTGATTTTCCTTATTTATCCTTCCCTCTGGCTACACCTCAAACTAAAAGCAGCCTCGTTGTCCTAGGAAGGAACCAGGGATGAAATGATGCCTGTCAGGGCTGGCTGCCACATCCAACCCTTCCTCGATCGACTTGGATCCATTAAAACAACCAAGCAAAAGGGTGTGAAGCCACCCTCACCCAGGACAGATGGAAGCTGGAGCTGTGTCCACACCTGATGCAGATTTCCAGCAAATCTGGAGAGGGGAACAGGCTCAAGTCTCCACTCCATGGCCAGTGTAAACATTTCCACGAAATCTCAGTGCAGAGCCTGCCTTGAATCTCTCCCTGCTATTCCCCACTCCCCTTTTACCTCCCAGCCTCCTGACCTTGCAAAAATACGGCTCTGGAGGGTCAGAGTGTGGGCCTGGAGCTGATTCCTGGGATTAGGGCTGGGTGGCCCAAGGGCTGGACAGTGCAGCATTCCTGCTCGGGGGCTCTGGCTGAGATAAGGCAGCCCCACACTGTGATTTACTCCAAGGAAGAGGAGTTGAGTCCTGCATGTTCCCTGGCAGATGAGGCAGGGCAGATTCTGTAGGATAAACCCCTTCCAGACTGCCAGTAATAGTTTGCTTTGGAAAAAACAAAATCACTTTTGTACAGCTAAAAGCACCAGGCTGGGCTGGACCACAAGCCAAGGCTCACCCCTTCCATTCCCAAGGGCATGGGGATGCACCAGGGTGTGCTGAGCTTGTTCATTCCTGCTTTGCTTAACACTGGCCCAAATCCTCCAGGGTTTGCAACCTTCTCCTGGCTGGATTTCAGTAGCAAGGGGAGGCAGAGAGCAGCAGTGTTTCCAGGTGAGGAAAGCCATGCTTGAATTTCAGGGCTTGGCAGGGTCAGAGCTAAAAAAAGGATTGATCTCCCTCACCTGGCTGGAAAAGAGAGGATGAATTCCCAGCCCAGAGGTTCAGCAGTATGGAAAGATAACACAAAGTTAATTTCTTCCTCCAGGGGGTTTTAATTGATCCGTTTTATGGAAGGATTGTGTGTATGTCCTCACAAACAAACCCTCCCTTTTCCTTCACCTAATCTCTCCCATTCCCAGCACTCTGCACACACTGGGAAGAGCCAGCTCCATCCATGTGCAATCCCTCTGGCCATTCCCCACGGAGGGAAACCTTCAGGAAGGTTCTTCCAGCCCCCTGCACATCCCCTTTGGAGCCCAAATATAACCCCAAGGCTCACAGCTGAGGAAACCTGAAGACATCGATGCACGGCCACCATGAAACCTTCAGATCTTCCTACACCTGCAGTGCTGGTCCCAGCTACCAACCAGCCACTCTTCCAGCTGGGACTGGTTCTTCCTCACATCCCATCTGGATGGCTCCAGATTCTTGCCTGGAAAGCATTTCCAGCATTTTTGGGATGTTACCAAGAGCTGCCGACACCGGGAACTGTTGCAAAATGCATTCAAGGCGAGAGGAGTCTGAGTTAGGATTCCCCATCTAAGGTCACCCTGAGAATCAAACACAGGATTGAATTCTTTCAATGCATGGAAAAATTTCATGGAGCACAACAGATGACTTTGGAATTTGAGCACTTGCTTCTTTTTTCTTTCTTTTTTTTTTTTCCCCATATATTTTATTACACAACTTCTTCCCCCCCGAAGAACACCAAGTTCTCCTCCCAGGTCGTGAACCAAAGCAGAAGAGGTGACTCTGACAATCTGGTCCTCAGCCCGCGAGGTTTCCTTTCATCGCTCCCAGTGATCTCAATCCCATCTCAGGGAGGTCACTGGAATGAGTCAGGTAACAAATAGAAAACACACAGTTTATGCAATAGCCTGAAATGAAGGAATCTCCCTTTGGAAAAACAATAGGGCCATTGTATTCCCCATCGGAGCAGTCTGGAAACTGCTCCTGCAGGGCTGTGATGAATTAAAGGCTTTTCTGCAGCTGATGCAGTTGCTGTTTGCTGCTAAGAAAAGCTGTCTGGGTGTCTGCAGCATGTTAAATCCATGAGTTCACATTCCCAGCATCACCAGAACTTGCAAAATGGTGCGGGGGAAGGAGATGACCGGAGCTGAGTGACTCAACCCCGTGCTGACCTCTCCAGTTCCATGGGATGCTGCTCCTCTATCACACGGTGAAGGGAATTACAGCCAAAAGAGCTTCTGCTCTGACAGCAGAGCCTCCCACCCTGGCTGGATGGACATGAGGGCACTGACAGCTCCTCTGCTGCCTGGGCTGTCCATAGCCCTGCTTGCTGGAGCCTCTTCTTGGAGGTGTTAAAGGCTCAGCTGAACAAAGCCATGCCTGACCCAGTCTAGAGATGCCAATGGACCTGCCTCGAGCAGAAATTTGGGCTGGAGCCCTCTGAGGTGCCTCTGGACCGTGCAGAGACCTCCTGAGTAGGGTACAGGAGGGCGAATCAAGGCAGCAGAGCCTTCCCTTGACTACATTCCCATTTCCAGTGCATCAGCCTGGTTTTTATTGGACGTACTCTCCTCTTTTGGCTGGAAGAGGCCACCTGGCAGCAGCTATGGGACATTTCCAGTGGGCTCTGAAAAGCTGGAGCTGTCTGAGCACCAGCAATGGCTCCAAGTGCTCTGCCAGCACTTGTGCTGTGCCCCCAGCAGCAGCCAGGGCTCGCTGGGAGACAGAAGAGCTCCAATCCCGGGGCTGCAAGCGAGGAAGCGAAATGCCAAGAACAATAAGCACAACAATGCCATGAATTTCCTGCGCTGCCGCAGCGCTGAAGGAGAGTGACAGGGAATATTTTGATGGGCCTGAACAGTTCCTAGCATTGGTTTCACTTAAGAAATTCCGACTGGCCGTGTTTTGTTTTTCCAATGGCTGGAATTGCTCTCAGGGGCACGAATCATTGGAGTGGATCCTGAGCTCCTGTCTTGCTGCTCCAAGGGCTCCAAACTGGTGAAGCAGCTGGGAAAAGGGAGCTGAATCCCGGGGAGCTGGCTGCATCCTGCATCCCCTTTCCAGAGCACACACACCCCACGTGTCGTGCGGAAACTGGATGCACCTGCTGGAGGAGCTGCGTGGGGGCAGGCGTTATCCAGCAGTTATAAATCCTGGGGCTATCAACAGCCTTCAGTAAACATTTGGACAATCCTTCCTACCTCTCGCTCGTCCAAATATTTGCATCACACGGGGCTGCTGCCCGTTTCCTGACACGCTGCACAGCTAAAATTATCCTTGGATCCCAGGTCGGTTCCAGCTCGCTGTGATGGATGGATTTATTGGATGAAACAAATGGTTCAGGGGGAAAGAAAAGGAAAAAAAAAATTTAAAAAATCTGTCTCCTGATAATAAATTCAGGTTAGGATGGAGTGAAAGAGCTTTCAGTGGGGAATGGTGTTTTTAGGAGATTTTAGGATCTGGTCTGGAGCACCCAAGGGTTAACAACGAACAGCTCTGAGCTCTTTTAGTGGAGTCTTCGTTTCTTGGAGGAATTGTTGAAGATGCTCCTGAAAGCTCTTCCTTCCTGCTAGGTTGGGTGTGGACCCAAGCATCTTTGGATATAAAAAAGCATCCTGCTGCATGGAGAGAGGTTTGGTGGCTCTTCCTCCAGAGCAGAGCCCCTTGCAGGTGAGTCACAGCAGGAATCACCACTTTGTAACCTGCCTGCAAAACGTTCCATGCAGCACAGTTGCCAAACAGAAATAAATATTTTTTTTATTTTTTTTTTCTCAAAATGTCGAGAGAAGAAAACAACCTGAGCTCTCCTTTAGCAATTAAAAGGGTTTAGCAGTTAATTTAGTTTAGCTATTAAGAGTTCTAAACACAAAATCTGTGTTTTGTGATTTAAGACCGCCGTGCTAAATAATGACTTTAGGAAGATTAAGCCTCACAACACAATAATTTTAGTCTTTTGCTGAAGAATTGACGTGGCTGAGGCTTTATGGCTGAACACACACCATAACAAGCCAGTGGATTTTCTGATAGAGTAGTAAAGAAAATAATCAACCCTCAGCTTAAGTGCAGGATAAACAGCAACCTGGGCTGGTGGAAGGTGTTGGAACCCATGGCAGGGAGCTGGAACAAGACGAGTTTTCAGATTTCTTCCAAGCCAAACCATTCCACGAGTTTATGATAAAACAGCTCAGGGCTTAAAGTGGCTTCTCCCCTGCAGCTTCAACTCGGACTTTTTCGTTTTAATCTTCTCCCCTGTCCATAAACCACCAAACCCACCACGAACAAGAGCAGCACAGCTCCCTGCTGTGAGAAGTTGGGCCATGAATGTGTTTTCTCATCCTGATGCGGGACAAATCACAAGGAGGGTTTGCTCACCCTCCGGTAATTCCCCTCCGCCACTCCCCAGCATCTCCCCTCTCCCCAAACCCCGCTCATCGCTGCCTTCTGGGAAGCCCGCTCCTCTTTTTGGACAGACTAAACAACATCTGCAAAGCCGCCTGTCTCCCCTGCAGGCGTGGCGGGGGAGCGGAGCCGCTCGCAGGCGGGGACAGAGCCGGTGTCACCGGGGAGGGCGAGCGGCGCTCCCGGGAGGTGCGGGCGGCGGAGCGGGGATGTGGCGGAAGCATGAAGCACCTGTTGGGAGGCTATTTAGGGATTAGCCGAGTGCTGACAGACAAATTGGCAAGATTAATAAGAGCAATCAAGGCTGTGTGGGCTCGAGCTGTGAGCTGACATTAATGTGACATGGCTTTCATCTGCTCTCGCCGAGCCCCGTTCGGCGCGGTCGGATGCGGGGGTCACAGCCCGGGGGGTGTCCCTGGGCGTGTGGCAGGGCAGGGGACAGCTCTCTGTGTCCCCCTGCTCACCTTTCGGGGACCCCCGGTGTCCCCCAGCCCTGGCATCACCGCAGGGCCTACCTGACCCTCGCAGCACCGGCTTATTTTGGGCGATATTCGCCTCAAATCCTCGGAGTTAGGGGTGGTTTGTTGTTGTTTGGTTGGTTTTATTTTTTTTTTTCCTGTCCTTCCTGCAGAATCATCGTTTCATGTCGCAGAGAAAACGAAATGCTCGCCCTTTATCAAAATAAAAAAAATAAAAAAAATAAAAAAAAAAAGAAAGAGAGGGGGGAAAATCATCAGGGAATAAATAATAAATAATTTAAATAATAAATAATTTAAATAATTTTAAATAATAAATAATTTTAATAATTTTAAATAATAAATAAATAATTCCAGGTGCGAGGAGAGAAGAAAGAAACTCCTCTGCTCTCGCTCTGAGCTTCACACTTTGAGTCTTCGCTGTCTCGGGGGGATGGTTGGACACCCTAAAGATATTTTAAGGCAGAAAATGCTGTTTTCGGAGCACTCCTCTGCCTCCAAAGCCCAGCGGGAATTCTCCCCTGCATCTCTGGTTTTATTTTAAAATCGGGTTTTTTTCATTTTCCCTTCTCCCCCCTTGTTTTTTGGAACACCTTCCCTGCTAAAATCTGCCCCGAATTCCGCCCGCATCCCTTTCCAGGAATTTTCTTTGTTCTTCAGTCAAGGAGGGAATCCTAACAGTAGTAAAATATCTGAATATCCAAATCCTCCAGGTCCGCCGGGTTCTGCCGCACGGGCTCCTCCGCCGAGAGCTTTTGCCCACAAAAGGAAAGTGTTGAAAGCGAGGGAGATGCCAAAGGCTGAGCGCACGTTCGCTCCCAGAGCTCCTGGAGGGAAAAAAAATCCTCTCCTTGGGACCTAAATTGGATCTCTCCGTGCTGGGGATTTATCGAGTGAAAGGGAAAAAAAAATCTGTAAAAATCGGATTTTTTAACTTTCAGCTGTTCAAACTTTCAAATGCAGATTGGGAGGGGGGTGCAAGAATAATTTTGGAGAGAGGTTTTATGAAGAAAACAAGAAAAGGACTGACCCCAAACCCAGACTCTGAAAATGAAGTTACAGGATGGTGGTTGCTGCTCCGACCCACCCTAAAAATTAATTTTAAAACTCCTTATATTTTATTTTTTTAATGTAAATTAATGATTTTTTTTTATTCTTAGTTGCATTTAAAAGGACCGGAGTTATTTTATATATGCAAACATATATATCCCATCCTAAATGAGTGAATTAACGGGATTTTAGAGTAAATTTCGTGTTCTTTCAATCTACACCCGGGCAAGGACAAACCCCTGAGCACAATGTCCCCAGCAGCCGAGGTTTTGGGGGACATAATTCCATTTCCCATTGGGAGCCTTTCTGCGGGGTCGAGGTGGATTCAGGGAGGGCGAGATGAACTCCCCCTTTTCCCTGCCCTCCTCCAGGGCTCGTTTTTGTTGGATTTATGGCTGAATTTCGGAGATTTTTCCCTGCAACCCTTCTCCATCCCCTCCTTCACCACTGGAAAACCACAGGGCAAGGAGCAGCCCCAGAGATCCTTAATTCCTTACCGCTAAAAATAATAATTTTACATCATTTTTTTTTTTTTTTTAAATCAGATTTGCTGCCCCAAAAGCGATTACGGTTGAAAGTACACATCTTCCACCAATCCGGCAGCAACACCGCGGGCATTCAGTGGTCTGTTTGTAATCTCAGCCTTTTTCATTAACATAAACACGGCTCCAACCCAAATATACACGGCCACCTACGGAGCGAGCGCGGGGCCGGGCGCGCCGCTCTCCCCGCGGGGGTTAAGCCGGGTTTAACGTGGAAAACCCACGGGGAAATCGCTGTCGAATCTCTGCTCCCTCTCGTGTCTCTGCCCCGGGGAAGGAGAGGGACAGGAGGAGCCGCTCCGGGTGTGTTCGCCCTTCGTGCTCCTCTCCGCGGGGCCCCGTTCTTCCCTCCCTCTCTCCCCCGTTTTCCAGGGAAAAAATTAAATTGTGTCCTATTCTCCCCCGTTTTCCAGGGAAAAAATTAAATTGTGTCCTATTCTCCCCCGTTTTCCAGGGAAAAAAAATTAAATTGTGTCCTATTCTTGGTTTTGCGGGAAAATAATTCCCCTTTCCGTGCTTGCGTTGTTTTCTTTGGGGTTTTTGCTTTTGGGTTTTCTCTCTCATTCTGCCCCTTTTCTGTCTTTTTCGCACTTCTTGCTTTTTGTCTTTTCTCTCGTTCTTTTAATCGTTCACTTTAAATATTCTTTCTTTCTTTCTTTCTTTCTTTCTTTCTTTCTTTCTTTCTTTCTTTCTTTCTTTCTTTCTTTCTTTCTTTCTTTCTTTCTTTCTTTCTTTCTTTCTTTCTTTCCTTCTTTCCTTCTTTCCTTCTTTCCTTCTTTCTTTCTTTCCTTCTTTCCTTCTTTCTTTCTTTCCTTCTTTCCTTCTTTCCTTCTTTCCTTCTTTCCTTCTTTCTTTCCTTCTTTCTTTCCTTCTTTCCTTCCTTCTTTCCTTCCTTCTTTCCTTCTTTCCTTCTCTCTTTTTCTCTCTCTTTCTTTCTCTCTTTCTTTCTCTCTTTCCTTCCTTCTCTCTTTCCTTCCTTCTCTCTTTCCTTCTTTCTCTCTTTCTCTCTTTCTCTCTTTCTCTCTCTCTTTCTCTCTTTCTTTCTCTTTTTTCTCTGTCTTTCGCTCTTTTCTCCTTTCCTTCTTTCCTTCCTTCTGCCCATTCCGTCTGTTCCCACTTTTTTATTCTCTCTTCTCTCTCCCGTCCAGCACAATCTCTCCATTCCCATTTATTCACTGCAGAATTCCGAAACATTTCTGTTTTCCTTTCCTGGACGAACCACAACCAGGGCTGTGCTCCAGCTCAGTTCCAACCCCTCATCCCGATGAGAAATCCCTTTCCTGCTGTGCCAGCTCTGCTTTCCCAGCCCGCCTGTGTTTGCCTCTCCCGCAGCCGCTGCAGCTCAGCCGGGAGGGTTCTGACACCGGACCCGCTCCCACTCGGGACATTCCCACGGCTTTTAGGGCTCAGCCGCACTCCTGGATGTCCCCACGCGTGGGGAGAGGGGACACGGGGGACACCCCGCGTGTCCGGATGGGGAAAAACTCCTTCAGCCCGCGGTGCTTTGAGCCAAGAGCTCAAATTCGATCCTTTCCAAAGGAGAAACGAATAATCCTGGAAGGGAAATTCTCATGCCGCAACCTCAGCCCACGGGCAGCATCTCTGCCCGCAGGTATCCCGCAAAATCTGCGGGAAAAAGGGATCTGAAGAAATTCCTTCACCCGCCGATTTTAAAGGGGGATAATGCAAAATGAGTCGGTGCATTTTAACAATTGAATTTGAGGGAAATTAAGAGAGAGGAGCTGAGGGTGCTGCACAAAACGCGCTGGGAGTTTTGCGATTTTCTGAGCTGTTCTGAGAATGGGAAAAGCAAAACCATTTCTGGGTTCATTATTCGAAATTTTAGTGAGGTCTGGGCCAGGTTTGGTGCGGTTTTTCTTTATTTTAGGTGGGGGTGTTTTGTCGTTGTTTTCAGTGGATCGTTCTTTCGGGGTTTTTTTTTGGCGTTTTGGGGTGTTTTTACAGAATTCTTCCCAATTCCTCTCTGCCTTCCCCACACGCACATCTACCCCAAAATATTCACAGTGGGAAGACAAACACATCAATGCACCCGTTGCCTTCCCGTTCCCAGGATGATTCTCCCCCACATAAAAATCAATCCCTTTTGCTGCAGAAATCGTTTAACCTCGGGCACCACAACCCTTGCTGGGGAAAGTTTTCCCACCTTGGCTCGGGCATTTCTCGTATCCACAGCGCATCTTTCCCAGGAACGCCAGCCGAGCTTTTTATTCCCTGCAGAAGATTTTTTTTTAAAGCCCCTCCAGTTCTCTTTTAATATTTACTTGGAGGCTGGTTGTGCAAAAGGATTTTCGAGGAGCTGCTCTGTTATCAGGAGGTGGGAAAGACGATAAGCCAAATTTTGGTGTATTTTAACTCTCTGCTCTGGAAGCTTCAAAGTAGAGCGGTCCGCGAACCTGCAGCACCCAAAGGCGCTGATGCACATCATTATTTGGGAATTCTAGCGGTGGAAAACAGCTTTTGTCGGGAAGGCTTCCAAGGAAAACCACCCGCAGGTCTTTGGAAAGGGAGAATGGGCGAGGGAGGTTGTTCACAGCGGGAATTTCTGGCGGCGTTTGTGAGCCTCCTCTTTGGGTTGGGAAAGGGGGAACACGGAGTTTCTGTGCGGGATTTACTGTAGAAATAAGATTTAAAAGATGCAGGCTACCAGGCCGTTGTGCAGCCCAGCCCCGCTCCCCTGAGGTTTTCCTTTCTCCGCAGGAATACTCCGAGCTTCCCTGCAGTAAAAGCTGCTCTTGCAAGTGCTCTGTCCCTGGGCTCCGTGAGCAGGGACAAGAGGGTTCTGTAGCACCAGGGAGCCTCTCGCACTGCGGTTTTGCTCCCCCGGCAGGGTGGTACCCCCGGGGACATCCCTGTCCTCAGCATCCCTCTCTGTTCGCTCCCCCCGCGGCACCGCCGTGCCCTGCCCCGGTGGCTCTGCCCTCTTGGCACAGGTGACAAAGCACAAGGTCCCTGCTGGGGACCCCGACCCCTGCCCAGGGCAGTGCCCAGCTGCCGGCACCCCCTCTCACCCCGGGCCGGGTGATCCTCGGTGGTCCCGGCTTGGATAAAATCCTTTCTCCCTCCAAGGAGCCCACCTGGATCTGAAGCCGGGGCTCGCGTGGGTCCCCCCAGGCTCCCCTCGGGGTTTTCCTCTCAGAGATCGCGCTGTCCTCACCCCCAGGGTGCTGTCCCCTGGAAAAGGGAGGCCGGATCCTTCCCCAGACCCGCAGTGCTTGTTTCCCGCATCTCCCCACGATATTTAGGAGCGATCCACTCCCCACCTTGCCCATTATTTATCCCGATAATGGATGGTCCCTGCGGCTTTTGGCACCCGTGGAAGAAAATAACCTGTTCCTCCTTTATGTGGGATATTCCGTTTTAATTTCTCCCACCTCTCGGTGCAAACGGATTTTGTGGGACACCCCAAAACGGGGCTGATGACCCTCGCCTGCCCGATGCTAAAATTCCCCCTTCCTCCAGCACCGGCACATTGATGGGATTTCGACAGGGTTTGGTTTATACTTGGGGGGAAAAAACCCCAAAAAACAAAAAAGAACGCTGCAAGAGCCAAACAAAAAGGTTTCATAAGGCTGGAAATAAGGCTGAACCCTGTGGAATTCCCTCGTCCTGGTTTGGTGGAGACCCCGGCCCGGCTTGGCCCAGCCGGACTTTTGGCATCGGGAGTTGCCGGGGACTGGAGGTGGTTCCCGATGCCAAAAATCTCAGCAGCGAATCCAATGGTTTCTCCAGCACAATTTTATCTCTGTCCTGACTGGATTTGGTGCTGGAAAAGCTGGAAGTGGCTATGAATTTTGTTTGGATGCCGCTGCTATGCCAAGTTGCTGGGAGAGGGGATATCCCTTCCCGGGGGTTCTGTTCGCTTTGGGAGTATCCCCAACCGCGGGGATTTACACCTGGATTTACACCTGGATTTACACCTGGATTTACAATTCGAGCTGCCTTTAAGGGCGAATTTGTGGGATGCGGGAGCATCACTCGCCGGGTCCCAGCTCTGCTGCGGCTCAACCCCGCTGCTTCTCTGGGTACCCAATTCTTGGGCTCTGAATCCCAGCCAGCCCAAAAGCATCCCCGCGGGAAAGCATTCTAGCTATCCGTCCCTGAGCGGGGATATAAATACCCGCAGATATTTGGAAGATCTCTGTGGGAAGCGATTGTGTCTGAGTGGTAGCGCTCGGAGCTTATTATCGCTGGAACCGATTTGTATTGCAGGGATCGGCTCCTGCCAGAAAACTCCACAGAAAAAAATTCCCGAGCCGAAGGAGGCTGTAAATTCCTGTGCTGCAATATTTCATCGAAGGGCGTCATGGAAAATCTGGGCTCGAAGGGCGCGGGGGGGAGACTCGGGATGGGCAGAGGGGGAAAAGGGAGACAAAAAGGGGAGATTAAAATTTTCCTTTTTTTCTTTTTTTTTCCCTTTTTGACCAAAGTCCCGAACTTCTGCCTGAGGCACGGCGGTGACAGCCAGCCCGCACCTCCCCGCAGCCGCCTCAGACACTCGGGCAGCTCTGCTGAGCTCCCAGTTTCGGCTTCTGCTCTCCTAAAATCTTCTCCAGGTCCTGGAGACCGGGCTTTGCCTCCAGGAATGGGAGAGGCCGAGGCTGGGATTGGGAAAGATCCCCCGAGTGGGGGGCAAAGCCTCGCCGTGTGATGGACCCGCAAAAAATAGTTTGGAGTGTGCGTGCGTCCCCTTAAAAACATCACTCGGTGCTTCCACCTTCCCCCAGCTCTCCTCTCTCCATCCTCCAGCCCCTCGCTCGAATGCACCCCCTCGCCTTTAAATAAACATTTAGGGATCGATTCGCCGCGGATTTGGGGCCAGCGGCCACGGGGATGGCGGCGACTGAAAAGGAAAAAAAAAACCCCGAGGCAGGCGAGGGGAAAAGGCCGGTGCTGGGGAGCAGGGGGGGTCCCGCGGGTGGTGTTAATGCAAAGCAGGACAGCGGGGAGGGGGACACGGGGCGGTCACTCCCCTCGCCCTGGGTGGTCCGGGCTGGCAGGAACAGCCCGGCCCCTCTCGGAGCAGCACCCTCTAACAATACCACCTATATACATTTCCATCCTCGGGTTACACCCGGCCTGCTCGCAGAGTTGACTTCACTTAAGCAATTAGCTAGTAAAAATACCTTCGGCGCAGGAAAAGGAAGAAAGCTCGGATTTGTCTATTTTTACACAAAACACGGCCCGAGTTTGGGGCAGGGGGAGGGAAGGGGAGCGGGTTTGGGAAGGAGCCGGGTGGGAAGCGCGGCGGGGCCGGGGGTGCTGGTGGGGCCGGTAAAGCGGGCTCAGAACGGGATGGGAGAGGCTGATTGCACCAGATGATAGTTCAATTTTTGCCATTTTTTCTTTTTCTCCCTGCTTTTCATCTCAGCCCGTCGGGGGCTGGGGGAGGACTCGATTCACCCACCCAAACCACGAGCAGTCCTCCTCCTCCTCCAGGCTTTTCCTCCCCAAAACTCTCCTTTCCCCAACTCGTGGGCTCGGATTAAAACCCTCCAACATTTCTGCTATTCCCACGACGAGGCCTATAGGACCCCCAGAGATATATCCCCATTTTTAACTTTTGCTAGCTGTAATAAATGCATCGGAAACCAAATCTTCCCACTCCTAAAAGATATTGCGAGAGGGGGAAAGGGCACTCGTGAAGGGACTGGTTTTCTTTGAGGGAAAATAGTTTGATTTCCACGGAGAGTTTTGGGGGTTTTTTTGACTCTGGGATATTTTATTTCCTTGTGGAAAGGCTGACGGTGGCGAACCCTTTGAATGTGATTTATTCACGGGTGCTCTGTGCTGTGTTTAGAGCTCCATCCCCGGGTGTTTTGGGGCCAGATCGAGGAGATGCGGTCGCAGAGTGATGTAAAGCAAAGAAACGCATCCTTTTCGCGAGCCGGGGGAGAACATTCGATGCGGAGCAAAGCTCAGGGTCAGAGATGCGCTGCCACAGCAAAAAATAAAAAGAAATGCAGCGAGAAGCAAAGGGAATATTCTGCACCAGCGTCCTCGGGGATGTAAGCCCCGCGGAAGGTGATTGCTTCCCAAAAAAAGCGATTTTTGGGGTGGTTTCTCCCCTTCTCGAGCAGCCACGCGCTTCTCGTTCTGCTCCGCGCCGAGGGAGCGGCCGCCGCCTCCCCGGGCAGCCGGAGCTGCTCGTTCTCCTCCTCCTCCGGGGAAAAGCTCCAGAAATATCCGTCCCAACCTCCTCCCACCCCTCCCTGGCTATCTGTCCCCAGCCTGGGGTTTGCCCAGGGCTCTCCCGTGCCTGTCCCGGGCCCGTTTGCACCGGGAACGGGAGGGCCGGTGCTGTCTGCAGGATGACTTTTATTTTTTAAAGCTTTTTTTTTTTTTTATGTCAAAAGGGGAGAAAAGGAGTGTGTGTTGGGGGGGAGGATAGAAAGAAAGAGAAAAAGAAAAAAAGAAAAGAAAAGAAAAGCCTGATGTGAAATCCCTCTTGGTCGTACCACAGATGTGACAGGCGCCCCCGAGGCTGCTCACAACTGCTCGCCAATAACGCGGAGGGAGTTTGGAAACCCGATCGGTGCCTATCTTTCCTTTAAAAGGTATTAAATTATCATTAAAAACTTGAAAAGAGAAGCTGGAAGGCGGGGGGCTCGGGGAGGGGGGTGTCCCCTGTCTCTCTTTGCACAGGGATGCACCCACACCCCGCGCCGAGGCCTGCGACCGGCCAAGGGAGGACGGCGTGGAATTTCTTTCCCTTTTTCCTTTCTCTTTTCTTTTCCCCAATGTCGGGAGGGAGCAGGCGGCAGCAGCTGGCACATGGGCAGCCCTGAGAGCCCTTCCTTGCCCCGTGCCCACCCGCAGCCCGCCCGCCCCGCTCCGCGCAGCTCCCCACGCGCGGGCCGCGAGAAGGTGACAACGATTTCAAGGGACTTACCTCGAGTGACAGCTCTGCCGGTGGCACGGTGCTCAAAGAGGTGGTTTTTGGGGGAGAGGGGAGGGAGAAAAGGGGGGGTCTCTACCCCTCTGGCTTTCTATTCTCCTTCCCCCCCCACCGGCCGCGTGTGCCCGCGGCACCGCAGGAGCGGAGCCTCAAACTCCGGGCATGGAGCCGCGGAACTCCAGCCCAGATTTATACACACCCCCCTCAAAAAACCCCCGAACCACCCGAAACAAACCAAGCCACCCTCATCCCTAAAGCAGTTTCGGAGCAGGCGAGGAGCCCGAAGGCCGTTCCCGGCCCCGGAGCGGCGGCGGAGGCAGAAAAGGGCATTTCGCGAGGCAGCGGGACTTTTCGCCGATTTCTTTTTATTAAAGCACCCCCGAGCCCGTGTTTACATTGCGCAGTATAAACATCCTGCCCGGGCCCGCCGAGCTTAAAAAGAGCGCAAGAAGAGGGGGTTCGGAGTGGGTGAAGCTGCGCGCAGCCGGAGCCGGAGCCGGGCAGCGCCTCCGCCGCCCCACGG